GAGGCAGCATTCAAGGAACACCAAATCCTTTCACCGTACGCATAAGTAAAGCCATACCGGTAGGGATTGTTCACTTAATCTTTATTTCACACTGTGGGTATATGTCAGGTTAGAAGATAAATCTTATCCGCGCAGGTCCGGTTTGACTATTAATCTTCAGTAACCCATGCCTGTCGTAAGAGGCGACTAACAGAATCGTGGTCAGACTCGCTGGCTTGGTTGACACATGTCATCGGTTCCCAATTGCGCAGATCGATGCTCATACTGTTGATCACTGGATTGTCTGGTCCAGACTCGATTATTTACACACCGCTGCCATATAGCTGGAACATTGCTGATTGCGGCGTAACACTAAACTCACTCACTCACTCAGATGATAAATCTTCAAAACCTCTTACATGAAACCTTAACTGTCCTTACAAGTGTTGATCAGGAAACTAACAATCTGATTTTTATGTCATGAAGTAAGGCTCAGTATGCCATCGGGTCATTGCAGCCTCGTCTCTTTCGTCTGCTCCAGCCTCTAATATTTTGAAGTTGACTTAAAACACCCATATACAAAGTATATCGGTATGTGTGTCTTGTTATTATCGATTCAGCTACACTAAACTGAACAGATGGCGTACATTTTCTTTCATCCAGTCCCTCGATAGAAATAAAGGTGGATGTGTATGACAATGATGAAACCTCCGGGGATGACCACATGGACACACTCTCTAAACTGATCAACATCCGATCCGCTGCTACACAACAGGAAGCGGTGTACACCCCGTACACATTGTGGGGAAGGACGACGTGAGTCAGACTAAGACATATCTGCGATGATAACAGGGAGTTGGGTTGAGAGGCTAGAACAAAACAAGATGGAATATTCTTTCATACTGTTTATTCATAAATGCTTCAAAATAACGAGTTTGCTACACGAACATCAAAACAATTTGTTGTGAATGATCATCGGTCTCGCACCAACATAATGTCAATTGGCCTGATGCACGTAAACATCACAGCAATATTCCAGCTGTCTGTAAATAGTCGAGTGTGGATCAGACAATCAAGTGATCAATATGACCATAGTTCTACACAAATGAGATACGATGGCTTGTGTCAACCAAGTCAGCGAGTCTGTCCACCCGATCCCGTTAGTCGCCTCTTAAGTGAAAAATGTAGAGTGAACTATTTTCCAGGTTAAAGATTGAAGTCCGAGCCTTTTGTGACCCGGACTGGTACGGATCTACGTGTGAGAAATATTGCAAGGCCACTCCTGACCACAGTCACTACACGTGCCACCCACACACAGGAGCTAAAATGTGCTTTGAAGGTATGCTCAGAAAGCTGGTGTGAGCGTTGATGTGAACTGTTATTTGGACCTTAAAAAGTTCCAGAAAGACCTATTTATGAATATCGTCCCTTTCTTGGGACGGGTACTTCACAAAAGCAAGTTTTCTCCTATTGTTGAAGATAGAAACTTGCAGTATAGACGTGAATGAAGCTGAGTAAAGTTTAGTGGTAGAACCATTCACATTACTTGTAGAGTTTAAGTTCTTTAAGCATGGTCACGTCCAGTGGCAAGGCAGGTCTCCTGCCAATTCGGCGAAGTGTGAGGTAAGATGATTTTTTATTGGTCCCTATTTTAACCATGCAAGTTCATTAGAATGTGTTTAAAAGTTTCGTTGTTCAAATAGAAAATTAAATGAAAATGGTTTCCATTTTGTCCATACTCATGATAAAGTTTCCACCAAAGTACCGTCCCAGATTTCGTATTGGTTTAGATTATGGTCCTTAGTATGGCGACGGAAATAACGTTCATCCATGATTTAACTTCCACTTTTGAGGATGATACCCATTTGCATATTTAGACGTTCATGTGACAGTGATCGTCCAGCGGGATATCGGAACTGTCGGTGTGGATTAACAGGATTTCAGTGAAACATTTTGCTGTTTACTGCATTAATTGCAATTAATTTCAATAATAACATTGCAGGTTGGAAGGGAGACAACTGCAATCAGGACATCGATGAATGCACAGAACGTGACCACATTTGTCAAAATGGGGGAAGTTGTACAATTACACTGGGAAGTTTCGAGTGCGCTTGTGTGGCGGGGATCAAAGGTAACTAGACTGTATCTGTAGTCATTACGCTGACAGATTCACAAAAATAAAAGGCCACATGCAACACATTGTGCACTAACATGGCTATGAATAAATCGTCCCCCCTTCCTTGCATATCAGAGTATACATATTAAATTATAACAACATTTTGCCAAAAATAAAACTATTTTTTGGCTCATACGCACAAACTGTATCCCGCCGTATATATTCAATTATTTTAAGCGCACCCTCATTTTGAAAAATATATTTACCCACATTTCTGCACTGAAATGCACCCATAATATCGCGCACCAATCATATTGTGTACCTGCTTGAAACATCGGTTGTAACTCCACCTCGGTAGAAGGGTTAAATGAAACAGTACCCGGTGGCAAGAAGTCTGTAACTTGTAAAACTAAATGTTCATTGATGCTTTTATTTGCTACGTAATTCCTAAAATTTGTTTAGGAAAACTATGTGAAAACATCATCAACCAGTGTGCACTGAAGCCATGTCTGAACGGAGGGACGTGTGACGGAAACGAATCGGACTTCAAGTGCGCATGCCCAGTTGAGTGGACTGGAGACACATGCGCAGATAAAGTTAACTTCTGTGACAGCGCCCCCTGTAACATGGGCCAATGTACACCGGATCTCTTGACGGCAACTCGGTTCAAGTGTGACTGTGATTTTCCATGGGTAGGGGAGAGATGCAACCAAAGTGTTGGTAAGTGAAATAATGTCATACACTCTCGTTATGTTCTTGTATGTTTTGTCGTTCGTTAGTGTCTAGGGGCGGTGGGGTAGCCTAGTGGTTAAAGCGTTCGCTCGTCACTCCGAATTCCCGGGTTCGATTCCCCTCATGGGTACAATGTGTGAAGCCCATTTCTTGCGCCCCCCGCGGTGATCTATTGGTGTAATGTTCCTGAAAACTGCGTAAAACCATATTCACTCACTCACAGTGTCTTAAGCTTAATACATGTATATGTAAGTATAAAACCAAATTGTGAAATCAGTAAGTAACAACAGAAAATCATTGAAGAATCAACAAAATATTTTGAACGACATACTATGACGTTTACGTTAATACAATACGGCAAAATTGGTGAAAATTACCTGGTAGCATCAAATTGAATACATCAAGCATAATCAAGAAGTTACAGCAATCACGGATGTCCAGTATTGTTCGAACGTCTTGAGTGAGGGGACCTACATGTTTCCTAGAGAGGGGATCACCACACAGGTATTTCAACATAGACGTCAGCCGCTGGGATGGTGTTTCACCACAAACATCCAAGGAAGGCTACTATATGTCGATGTCACGAGCAAAACCGATATTATACGAAAGCGTCATTCACTTTGACACAAAAAAGTATAGTTAACAACTCTTTTATTTCTTATGATGCGCGGGGCGGTGGGGTAGCCTAGTGGTTAAAGCGTTGGCTCGTCACGCCGGGGATCGAATCCCACATTGGTACAATGTGTGAAGCCCATTCATGGTGTCCCCACCGTGATGTTGCTGGAATATTGCTAAAAGCAGCGTAAAACCAGAACAGTCAGTCACTCAGTTTATACGACGCAGATGGATGCGACGTTTAGGAAGCCATGCAGCTTCAGAACAAGTTACTTATAGCAAGATTAAGTAGGCAGCACATAACAATGGGATAGGTATAATAACAATGGGAGGAAGCCAGTGTTGGGGAGGCGGAACAAGGTATACAGAACAGATGGGGTAGGTAATAATACAATAACAATGGGAGGAAGCCAGTGTTTGGGGAGGTGGAACAAGGTATACATAGCAGATGGGGTAGGTAATAATACAATAACAATGGGAGGAAGCCAGTATTGGGGAGGTGGAACAAGGTATACATAGCAGATGGGGTAGGTAATAATACAATAACAATGGGAGGAAGCCAGTGTTGGGGAGGTGGAACAAGGTATACATAGCAGATGGGGTAGGTAATAATACAATAACAATGGGAGGAAGCCAGTGTTGGGGAGGCAGAACAAGGTATACATAGTAGATGGGGTAGGTAATAATACAATAACAATGGGAGGAATCCAATGTTGGGGAGGTGGAACAAGGTATACATAGATGATGGGGTAGGTAATAATACAATAACAATGGGAGGAAGCCAGTGTTGGGGAGGTGGAACAAGGTATACATAGCAGATGGGGTAAGTAATAATACAATAACAATGGGAGGAAGCCAGTGTTGGGGAGGCGGAACAAGGTATACATAGCAGATGGGGTAGGTAATGATACAATAACAATGGGAGAAAGCCACTGTTGGGGAGGCGGAACGAGGTATACATAGCAGACGGGGTAGGTAATGATACAATAACAATGGAAGAAAGCCAGTGTTGGGGAGGCGGAACAAGGTATACATAGCAGATAGGGTAGGTAATAAGAAAAATAGTTGTTATCCATTGACACATGATGTCACAAGAATTTAGGTGACAATATCCAATAAATGAAGACAAACTGCTGTTATGTACTTAAGACAACACAAAGGTGACGTGTTTGCTTTTCATTCTGGAGAAAACAGATGGGTTGTGATATCCTGCCAGGGAATGGAGTCAGATGTATGCTTTTTGTTTGACATGAAAGCTGTAGATAATCAATTTGAACTCAGTTCATTTGACAAATTGACCAGTAAGTACATTGTGAAGTTTCAGTTCATCCGTGCTTTTGTTGTCGATTTGTGATTTGTTATAAATGTATTCTAAGAAATCTTCTTTTGTATTCAGACATTTTCAACATCACACTCCTGGGTGAGATTGATCATACAAATAGAGGTGACCTGGTTGACGGCTTGAAGAGACTCATCATCGAACTCGGGGGAATTCCAGGAAAAGTGAATGTCACCTTTAGAACAAATACAAAGAAAGAAAGCAAGTAAGTGACAAACACACTGGTGTTGACCAGTACAAGAACATATGACTTTACAATGACGTTGATACTAGTATTTAAATGTCCAGTCGTGCAGTTAAGGTATAACTCATTACCTATTTTGTATGTTATGTGCACAGGGGTTCGAATATCTGTTTAGACGATAATTTAAAAAAATAAAAATCTAGACTTTTGCAATCGTATATTTTATTTATATGTTATAATTAACATATATTCCAAATTTGAACGAAATCAGTGAAGAAATGAATTTTTTAGAAAATTCGACCGCTACACTCGTTACATAAAATACACAAGGGGTGACGCTCGCGATGCTGAAAACCTGATCGAAAACCAGACAGCCAGACTATTTTAACGTGCGGTTCAATCAAACCTAACGTTTTTCACAAAACATTGTATTGAACGTGTAGGTTATTCTTTTACTTTTCTGCCCATCGTATTCAATTTGTCTACCTGCTTTTCATTTTAAACACACACCCTCAATCTTTGAACAAACGTCTGGCCTCTCTTTGGTAAACATCGACAGTTTCCGTAGATTTTTAGTGACTAGCGACTCAGCCTGGTTCCCGTGGTCTGCTGTGCTAACGCTTTGACACATGTATCTGAACGACCACACTGATTAATTATAGCTCGCATCTATATTTTAGCAATTTTGGTTTAAACAATATTTAATTCCTCAGATGACTTATATATGTATTCGAACCCCTGTGTGTTATGTGCCTTTTCAGTTACACCACAACGCACGTACATCTCTACTCTGCTGTAGAAAACGGCTCATTTCTGGAGAGTTCTTCATTTGATAGAATTTTCGAATCCAACCCTGACGAAGTCATTGATGAATATCTGCCTCTTCCGTTGTTCCCTCCCCGAGAAGAAGAGGAGGTGAAAGCGAAGGTGATGCCCACAGTGATTGTTACCAATGTCGTATTACTGCTTATGTTACAAAATATTAATGTATGCCATTATTTGCTTTAGTACCTGATGTAAAACAAATTACTAGAGATGTTACATAATTGTGTTCATTCAGCAATATTCCACGTAAATGTCACTGGTCTGCAAATGACGAGTCCAGATCAGACAATCCAGTGATTTAGTAAAGGTTCCATGGAACTATTTCCTTACCCGAATCCTCCTATAAATTCTGATGTAGCTAAAGGTATCATTTGGAACTACAAATGAGTACAATTCAATCTTTTTCTGCAGTATGTGTGGTAGACAAGATCAATTCAGATCACTACATGTCAATATGGGTGTGTTTCAGAGTCCACATGACAGCTGGGACACAAACCAATATGTGTCAGCCATTCCACCTCCTGTGGGACTAGTCCTGATACCTATACTACTTCTGGTGGCTTTCTGCATCTGGAGAAGATCGTAAGTGGTACATGGCGAACTCATTAATTAAACATACTGCCTTGTATTGGGAGAGGTATCAAGGACGACAGCCACTCCGAAGAATGTACATTCTGGCAATCGGACTAAATACTTTTCCTCAAGGCATACATTATGACCCGACAACTTGAACGGGAATTGCTTTGAAATATACACACTGTTCAAGAAATGATTAGGAAAATACACACATGTACCTAAAAACAGTTTCAGGTCGGAACAGTCAGCTGCTAAATCCAACTTCAGATATCTAGATGCTCAGTTGCAATATACTAGGAGATTGTTTGGATATTTAGCATTTACGTCAACAATCATTATATTTCTTATTTCCAGGAACAAGACGGAACAATGTAGAGACGACATTCAGCTCGACTCATTTGTGATGGACGTGGCATGCAACCCCCAACCACCAGGTGCAATGACAAGAAATCTCCAGGGGGCAAGCGTATCTCCTGATGGTTACACAAGTCTTCGCTTCCTAGGATCACCCGACACACACTGTGATGAGACATCGAACATCATCAGTCTAGAAGCTGAAGATATTACCCTTGACCCAGAGACTCTTGAGGGTTTAGGTCTTTATCCAGCTGAAGCACACCGTGATGACACATTAAACATTCATCTCACAACTGAAGATATGGCCCTTGACCCAGTAATTATACATCGCTTCGGCGTTTCTCCAAATGACAACGGACGTCTTGGTGACGTGGCAACACTCCAACCAGTTACTGAAGATCTGACCCTTGATCCAGTAATTGAACAGGATGCAAGAGTTTCTCCCCATGACAACACACATGATTGTGACAAAGCAACACTCCACGACGTAGAGGTAGCAACACTGGACACACACTGTGATGAGGCATCAAACGCCCTCCCAACAACTGAAACTGGGGCCCTTGACTCGGTGAGACCAAGCGGATATCCAGATGACCACACACGTCTTGGTGACTTTGGAACACTCGATACACGCCGTCATGTTACGTCATACATCCAACCAGTCCCTGGAGACATGACCCTTGACCCGGGGAATCTAAAGGAGGAGGAAGACAATGCAGAGTACACTGTCATCGATGACAACGAAGTGGAGGACATCTTACAGGAAGACCCATTTGAAACGATAGAGTCTGTCGATGACAAAGATGATGAGAACATCTCACAGAAAAACCTGATGAAAAGATAAATGTGTAGTTGCCTTGGAAGATGTATTAGTCAACCAATGAGAATAATGAAAAGAAAATGTATTTTGCTTTATTTGCTATATGTAATGTAAGATGTTGATGGATGTCTGCTATAAGGGCAGTTTGGGATCGGTATATCAACAGTCAGAATAAGATCATAGCTTAATGGTTCAAATTCCAAGATGAACACATGTTGTGTACATTATATGTAGGATTTTGTGCATGTGATCCAGTGATGATTGGATGCCAAAGAGTAAATTCCAGGATCATATGTTGTGTAACCTGGAATTTGATAGCTTGTGTTGAATCTTTGTTGAATCCCCACATGGGCACAATGTGTGAAGCCCATGAATGGTGTCCAACGACCTAGATATAAATGGGCAAGTGTTAAGAATATCACCTAAATTACATAGATATGAATGTCAGATAATGTTTTCTTTACTGATACAGATGGACATGAAGACCAGTTTATAAATATGCATGATTACACTATGTACATATTGTATTAGCTTATGTAGGCTTGACGTTGCCATTGTAGACTAGCAGCCATTTCAGTTTTGCAAATAAAATAATCTTGAAGCTATAAATATTCACTTTCATTCACGAGAATGGTATAAAATTGGCAGATGGGTGTGATAATAACATATCTGTTCAGGAGTGGACGATCACGCCTGATGTGTTTAAATGGTTGCTGTGACGAGATGCTGGCGGGTGACGCCTTTAAAAAGGTCGGGCGTCCATATCGAAATTTTCATTTTACAGCCAACGTCACTAATACCAGCCAATAAATGCACGAGGTCTTCGATGCATGCTACACATGAGTCAACCAGTGCTTGTCCCAACTAGCAATGAGAGCAGGCCCGAATTTACTGCGAGTGATGGTTGTTTTTTTAATTTCACGTACACGTCTGCTAATGACATCAGGATTGAATGCTCGGGGTCACGGCATGAGTGAATCAGCGAGTTGGCTATCCATGTATTAGGATTAAGGCACTATGAATGAGTGGGTGAGTATGGGTTTTCTCCGCTTTTAGCAATATTCCACCAATTTCTCGGTGGGGGAAACCAGCAAAGGGATTCACACATTTAACCCATGTGGGGAATCGAACCCGGGATCTTCGGCGTGACGAGAGAACGCTTTAACGACAAGGCAACCCCGCCACCTCCATGGCATGAAATAGATGTCTTGCTTTCGGAAGATTATGCCACATTCATGACACAGTGGTCACGTGTGTTCTTATGTTGAAAGATAAAACATTGCCAAAGTCGTTGTGAAAGTCTTACCACGAGAGGTGCAATGATATTGCCCCGATAGTATTTACCTACTTATAATATAGAGCGCGGTTTGACCAGTGTTATACGAACCCATACCATTATGAGCCCACTCCAACACGATGATACTGTACGACTTTGACGTCTAGAAGACGTTCAGTAGGACGTAATTAGCCTCGATTCATTCGATCAAGGAAATGGAGAGTAAACCTCGATTTCTCAGAACAATCACTGATCAGTCTTTGACAGTAGTGACATTTACCATACCACCGATACCTCTGAGGGGCAATTTGTACCGATTCCCTCAAGCCAACACTCTGCTTATGGCATATTGAGACACTTGTAGCAACAATATTCGGACGTCTGCCCACCTTCAACATGCCAGTGCATGCAGTAAACGTCCATCACGTTGCAAACGTCGCTTGATCAACACTGTTACCTCCTCAGTGCTTAATTGTATATAATAAAATGTCCTTGAACATTGGACTCACAATATGCTCACAACCCAGTCGATCTGGCAGTATACCCCGTGGCTTTCTGAGGTAACATCCTTTGTGACTGTATCAGTGTTGTGCTCGGGATATTGATGTATAAAGAAAAGTCCTTCCCTGAAAAATCTCCTACTTTTATTTCTTGTTGAATGTCATTTGGGTTTTTCACATAGCCCGTCTTAGTCATGGGGGCGCACACTAACACATTCTACTTCAAGTGGTAAATCTGACAGCACCCCTTGCAGGTGCTGTCCGACGTCTCGTGCTGTATTATTGGGAGTGTCGTGTTTACAAGCTTCATTTGTTTGGAAATGTTCTTGACACATACATCATTTATTTTCATTGGACACATTGGTGTAGTTTCACATCAAAACAAAAACACCCCATACGTTTTAGTGGAGCGTTTCTTATTCATTAAGACAAACATTGGCGCTCTTTTCCTGCACCTCTATCGGGGCGGTGGGGTAGCCTAGTGGTTAAGGCGTTCGCTCGTCACGCAGAGGACCCGGGTTCGATAGTCTACATGAGATTGCTGGAATATTGCTAAAATCGGCGTAAAACTAAACTCACTCACTCACTCACTGCACCCCTATCCTTTAGATGAGGGGGTACATTACCAATATCCCATATTCAATTGTTTACAAAAAATTGAATAATGTTAAACAGCTTTGTTGAACTTCACACTTCAACTGTTGTTCCGCAATCATAAAGGCAAGTGTTATTATCTTTTTCTTCCGTATCTGTTACCCGTGGTTGATGATTCTTCATCATTCAATGATGTTAAAACTATATAAATGACGCTGATTATTGACAAAAATGACTCGCGTTTTCATTTTATTTCCGCAGCACTGCAAATTAGAAACTAAAAAACGAAACCTGAAACTCGCTTTGCGCCTCTGGAGTTAATAGGACTGTTATGGCCATTTGATAAACCAGACCGTTAAATAAGGCGTTTGCCATCAGATATGCATCAGCCACCTAGGACACAAGTGTAAGCGATACCAATTAGAAGATGAAGACGAGGGAAAGACGTTTGTGTGTGACCGTACTTCTCTGGCTGTTGACAATCAAGGTAGGCTTCATGCATGCTAAGGCCATCTTTGGAAACGATTTTGCACCGTCTGGCATGCACCGTCTGGTCCCTAATACGAGTGGCAGTTTGCAACCGATTTCTTAATGCCACCGTTCTGCCTAATCTGTGCTTGGCTGGAGCTGTTGCTCTTGGGCGTTCAGATCAGAGTCAGTGACGTCATTATGATCATTCTCTCGTATCCAGAATCTGCTGATGACAGATTGAGAAACATGCGGTATTTGGGCAACAAAGTGTCCATACCTACAACATACCAATCGTACCACACATTATTATTTCTTTCTTACTGATTACATCCGTTTCATAAACAACCCAGTGCGTTCGGGTGACTGTCACAACGTTGTGTTTGGAGAGAGTGTTCTTCCCTCAAATATCACTCACTTTCACTACAAGACATTGACGTATGTTCTTGAACTTACACCTAAAAACGTATAACCCCTACTTTTTCTCATCTAACTCATGAATCCACACACAAAAATATTCTACTTCCGTATCCATGACCCTGGTGGAGCGATGAATACAGCTCCAACACTCAGTGTTGTATAAACTATACAAATATCTGTAAAACAGCAATGACTAACGTCGCATTTCTGCGTATTTCCGCAACACAGCAAATTAGAAACAGAAATTGAAACCCGTTAAATTCACTTTGTGTCACTGGAGTTAACAGGCAGTTACGACAACTGGATAAACCTGTGGGTTGTATAATGTGTTCTATATCCGATCTGTATCCAATACCATCGGCACGCGTGTAAGGTAACACCATTGAGGATGAAGACAAGAGGAATACACGTGGCTTTACTTCATCTTCCGAAGTCGTCTAGTTAGCATGGGAGTATATATGCTGGTTAGAGGACACAAGTACATTCTCCATATATCGTACAGGGATGTTTTACTTCTTAAGAGAAATATACTTATATGCATAGTCTTTACAATAGTCTGCATGAGCTTTTGTTGATCCAATCTCTAATCTCTTTAATCGTTAGAGGACACAAGTACATTCACCATATATCATACTGGGATGTTTTACTTCTCAGGATTTCCGTGAAGATCGGGGTTAGAATTGATCTTTAGTAACCCATGCTTGACATAAGAGGCGACTAACGGGATCGTGTGGTCAACCACGCTGACTTGGTTGACACATGTCACGGTTCCCAATTGCGTAGATCGATGCTCATGTTGTTGATCACTGGATTGTCTGGTCCAGATACGATTATTTACAGACCGCCACCATATAGCTGGAATATTGCGGCGTAAAACTAAACTCAGTCATTCACTACTTCTCAAGATACATGTACTTATATGCGTAGTCTTTACAATAATGTGCATGAGTTCATATTTTCTTTTTTGTTAATCCAGTCTCTCGACCGATTATACACCAAAGCAATGTTGTTGAGTTTGTATGAGTGAGTGAGTGAGTGAGTGAGTTCATATTTAACGTCACCAGTTTGTGTGAGTTAATTCAGACGTCAATGTAATGTACACATTATTTACATACATGGAGCTTTTTAAACTTTGCAATGAAGACAAATAAACGCATGTCAGTCTATGTTATCAGAACCAGACATGTTCAGTTATGTTTCTAAGTTAACTGATATTCAATATTCCGAGTATACTGATACTCTTAATGAATAATCATTCAAGGCGTTATCAACAATTTGTATTCTATACCTTAACACATCGGCGAAAGAATGAATACTCAATGCCATTCTCTGTGGATGTATGGCAACGGCCGCTGGGGCCGGGTTATACTCTTAGCGGTCCAATAATTAGCGCACATCTTAATGTGCGAGGAATGCTTAAATTGATACAGATGTTTGTGAACTCATGACCGTATCTTCAACAAATATATTATGCACATGTCTAAAGTGAATAAAACTTACAGGAAATGCAAACGTAAGAAGAGGTATGAGAAACCGGATTAAATCATGTATGACCTAGCTCGACGTTCATTCACCATAGTTACGCGGGACAGCCTCTATATTTCTTTATAGAATGAGCATAACCTTGACAGAAATACATCCCTACCAATACAAGAACAGGTGTTTACTGTATTTCCGGCTTCTGATCTTTTAACCCATGTCGGGCACAGTTTATTTAAGTAGTGAAATAAGGTTTCCGCATGTCCATTGGACTAATCGAAACAAATTTCTAATGCCATCGAATAATGAGGACTGGGCAATTATACATTGATAAACTTGGTTATTACTATTTGATCGTACCCTTCATGCTGTCACTGGTCTGTCAGGTCCAGACATTATGTACAGGTGTTTGAGATACAGACATATAACTGCTGCGTGTAACGGTGCATTTCATTTCAAATGTACGGAACTCTAAATGTTCTATGTATAAGCTATTCGGGTAATTATATAAGTGGTTTTGGTTTGAACCGTATTTCAGTTAGATAACGAATCTTAATGTGATGTGAACATATTTGCCGGAGCTGATGTCCAGACTAATATCACGATAATACATGTTAGCACCATACCCTTAAAATTGGTTGTTTTTTGAAGTGGTAATCGTCTGGACATCAGTTTATCATACATACTCTCCCAAAAAAGAAATGCATAGGTGTATTTTCACGAATGTCATCTGCTAACTTTAATGTGAGATAACACTGTAATTCTGGATTTGTTGCAGGCAAATTACACAGTTGAAATATCAAATGCCTGTTAATATGTTTAGCTTATAAATACTTCAATAAGTGAAGGCGTCCGTTCCCAGTTTGACGTTGTCTTCAATATCTGTTGTGGCCGCCATGACCAGCTATATGGCGGCGATCAACTGCTCTGCATCGTCTCGGCATGGACCAGAACAAGTCTTCAATTCTACCTTGTGGAATTCTACCCTATACCCTTGCAATGCCTGCGACAGTTGATCTAACGTCTGGGACGCCGGTTGCCGTTCCCGTATGCGTTGAACGAGGTCATCCCACACATGTTCGATGTGGTTGAGGTCGGGCGATTTGGAAGGCCATGAAAGCACTGTAATCTTTTCATTCTGAAGATACTGAATATTGGCATGTTTTGCTTGAGGCGTTGCATTACCATGCTGAAACAACTCCCTCTGGGGTCAATGATTAAAACCATGTGGATTCCGTCCCTGTACAGAATAGCAGTTACATTGCCCTGAAGGCGAACAGAATTAGATTTCTGCGTGTAGGATATTGCTCCTCACATCAGTACACTCTCACCACCATATCGGTCTTCCAGCTTCCAGTCCAGCATTGATTAAAAATGGTTTGCGTCGACACTCTACCCGCCCATATGGCGATTCTGTAAATGAAGCTTCCGGATGTACATGCACCGCAGTGATTAAACATCGAGGCCAATTATGCGAAGAACTGTTTCGATATCGATATCTAAACGACCGCCTGGTACTTGAATATATAGGCGATTCTGTAGCAGATGGAGGATCCCCGGACTACAGACGTCCAATTGCATTGTTTTGATTTATAGCAGTGAGTAGAGCCATAACGATATTCTTTCATTTGGTTAAAGAAAGTGCCAATGACCACATGAAAGCAAACGGCTTTATATAGACAATATACCCGCTTACGATTCATCAGAACAGCGCTTGCCATTACACGTGCATATTACGAACCACTTTTTCTCCATGACGTTTTCATGCAGGTTTACACTTTCGAACGTATACGTGCATCAAAATTTCCAAAGATGAGTTTTTGCCCTGACTATTCGATTCATGTACACAAACCAACATTACATAGTATAACAATCAAACATCAATTTTGAAAAATATTTGAAATTTCATGTATCAATATCACCTGTGCGTTACTTGGTTTGGAGAGTATATATTTACCATGCCGACTATTGACCATACATGTTTAGAGATATAGCTGCTCCATATGCAAATGCCATTACATTTTGAAGTGAAGTATTGACAACGTAGTTTCTTAAGGATCAAAAGTACACAATGCGATATGATTAAGGATTATCGAGTTCACATTACCAAGGATGAACACACGATTTCTGGTTTACTTCGATTGAAGAGACAGAACATGTATTTGCTGATCGTAAGCCGTTAGCCCCACAGCCACAACACTGACAAAATGATGCGCCGAGAATAGTGGATTAGTGTGGGAGCAATGGAAATACATTTTACTTTACAATTTCTCTTTATTGTAAAAGAGAAAAACTGAAAACATGTTTGCTGAACATGCACAAACTATCATATCGTATGGTACTACAATGCATACCTAAAGTGAAACAACAATATTTAATTCGTAAGAATAATTTTTCTCACTGTTGAATAATTATCTTGAACAGTGAGAAATTACAAACATTACATCTTGCTTCTTCGTCATCTATTAGACATTTCCCCCTTATTACATTTTGAACTCCGAAATAATTAAAACTACTTCTACTACTTCTGTACCGAAGAATGCAGAATAAGAATATATAACTACATGTTCACGCTTAAAGCCACACTGGTATTCTGAATACTTTCATCAGTTTCTACAAGATGTTCTAATCTTGTCTGAAGAACACAAACCAAAACAGCTTATGCGAGGCTAAGGCTGACACAATGACTGTTTCATTTCACATATTTGTTTAAGTTAGTGTTTGCGTTTTGGTATTTAACAAGATCCTCTTGTGTAGATGTTCTCCCGAAGCAGTTCACAGTTCTTGTCAAACACATAGCTACAGAAGCTCAATGATGTTAGTTTACTCATTGTACACAATCTTTGGAATACATAATTCTTCGGATACAACATATACTGAAAGAAAGTGTTCATATCAACGTTATTGCTACACAGTCCCATACTATGCATGTATAATTTATACCATTACCATATGTCCGGACCCGTGAAGATCCGGGTCAGAATTGATCTTTCGCAACCCATGCTTGTCGCAAGAGGTGACTAACGGGATCTGGTGGTCGACACTCGTTGACACATATCATCGTATCCCAAATGCTGTGGATTCTGGATTATCTGGTCCAGACTTGATTATTTACAGACCGCCGCCATATAGCTGGAATATTACTGCATGTGGCGTTAAACAACAACCAACCAGCCATATGTCCGAATATATCTTTTTGATTTACAGCATGTGAAGACTGACGGTAAACTGGACATTCTATTCATCAGATACTCATCAGATGGCAGGAAAATCAACAGTGACTGTTGTGACGGAGGATTCTTCCATTTGTGCACTGATAAATGTGATCCAAAGTTTTCCCTGTGCATCAACGAGTAAATACATTAGAAATAGTTATTTATAACGCACACATTGCGATTGGGGACAGTTGCCTGCCTCGCTATTGTATCCCTGACTCTTCTGCGAAAATGATTTGTGTATTATCCTGTCTGGTATTTTTGGCTATCAAAGGGTAATATTGAAACAAGTTTAAATATGTAATAATTGGTGCTTGTCAAATCGCCTTGAATATGCATCTGTATCTGTATCTGAATTTTAAGCCATTATTGCACGATTTGTTGTGCACATTGAACTTTAAGCGTTTTATCATCTGAAAGAACGTCTGCCTTCAATGTCTACTCAGTTTTCAAGTCATTCTTGCTGCATTTGTAGATGAAAGTCTATGCTATCAATGCTGTGCTTTGCTACCTGTAGACTTGATGGTGTCATACAACAAGCTAATGTTATTGCAGCTCTGACGGAGGAAACCCCTGGTCTCTTTATCAGAGCACCACAGACTACATAGACAACCATAATATAATCAACTTTGGAAGCAGCATTCAAGGACAAGCAAATCCTTTCATCATACCAGTGCCCAAAGCAGTACCGGTAGGTTTGTTCTTACCTAAATATATGATGCCCACAAGGAACCAGTTACATAGAACCTGAACTGCTCTATGATTGTTGATCAGGAAACTAACAAGAAAAGTTCATAGATAAGGCTCAGTGTGTTCAAGCGGGTTATTCTATTCTGGTGGCGACTCACAGCACCAACGCCTGTTTCGCCTGGTCCAACCACTGTTATTTTCAAGTCAGTAAAACTAACTGTTATAACTTCGGAGTTAACAAACAGCTCGATATATTTGTCTTGTTATTGATTTAGGTACATTTATTGTTTAGGTGGAATTTTGTGGTTTTAAATAACAAACTAAAATGAGAGTAACACGTTTTTGTTTCCAGTCCTCAATAACAATACGAGTGCAGGTGTATGACAATGATGACACCTCCAGTGATGACCACATGGACACACTCTCTAAGCTGATCAACATCCAAGTCGCTGCTACACGAACAGGCAGCTATGTACACCCTATACATATTGAGGAGAAGCACACAGTGAGTCATAAATACTTTAAAATGATGAGTTTTGATTGATCTAAACTTTAGAGATCTTTCAATAGCACACGAGGTGTACACGTAATATTTAAGAGTGTGCTTATGGTGCTCAAACTGTATGGAGTGAACTATTTTTCAGGTTAAAGATTGCAGTCCGTGCCTACTGCGACACGGATTGGTACGGGTCTACGTGTGAGAAATATTGCAAGGCTACTACTAATCACAGTCACTACATGTGCCGCCTACAAACAGGTGCAAAAATGTGCTTTGAAGGTATGGTCAGACACTGATTTCAACATTGATGTGAACAATTGTATATTCCAAAGATACATTGTGTATTGAGAAAGGCCAACAAGATTAAAATCATACCATAATATCACTTGTATATTATGTCAGCTCAGAATTGGAAATGTTAAATCTTCCGGTAGATTTTGTATCTACCATTGTATATTGTCTATATTGTAATTTGTATCTCGCATGGTGGTTCGACCAGAGAGTAACAGAAATCCTGTTTTGTCCGTCTTGTTCGTTTTGTTCACTGCACCTATCGGGAAAGTGCTGTTGAAAGTAATCGAATTTCTTTGAATCATCGTGTAGAGAGAAATCTGTTTCCGTATTCAGACGTTCATCTGACGGCGATCATCCAGATCGTGTTGTAACAGACAGTGTCCGGAGTAACAGGATATTAAAGTATAAGCTATCTGAATCATTTCGCTATTTTCTGCACAAATAAACTCTTTCCGATACTAAAATATTGCAGGTTGGAAGGGAGACAACTGCGATCAGGACATCGACGAATGCAAAGAAATTGACAACACATGTCAAAATGGGGGAAGTTGTAGAAATACACTCGGCAGTTTTGAGTGCATTTGTATCGAGGGAATAAAAGGTCAGTATTCTATACCTGCAATCTATCATGTATGGATTCACAAAAAACAACAGGTCACATGGAATATATTCTGCAATTCTTTGACTACTATCACGGGAATTAAAGCCCTATTTCTGTTACAGCTGTCATACACCGTTTATTCAATGGCATAAACTTTCTGTTTGTGGTCATATATAGAGTGGAGGAAGCAAAGTCATAAACAAACATATCCCCAACTCCATTCCCCAACGTTGCTTGATGTTTATAGCCTAGAGTTAATTTATACTAAATGATATACTGATAAATTATTTGTTTTAATATTGAAAAAGCTTCTATAGAAAAATACGATACTTACTGTCCTTTGTCAACAGTCACTGGACTATAATATACTTGTTCTCATTGCGATGTAAACTTTTAACCCATCCCCTAAACCACCCAATCCACCTTGTTTCAAGCATAGCACTGCAGCTATAGGGTTGACTTATTAAAGATTGTTTACGTAACGTAACACAACATATGCATATATTTGGCTGATACATAGAGAATACTACACTCAGTCTCATTACATAAATACATATTTCGCTCGGTCAGATATCATAGGAAGGTCACGAGTTTCGTATAATTCGTATGTAATGAGATTGAGTGTAGTATTTTATTTATTACCGACGTCTTACCTGCATAAAATGACAAAATAACGTGTTTATGTTGTTTATATGCTTTCAAACCGAAACTGGTTTCATAAAGAGGTTCCGGAAGAATTTTTGCATGACGTCACACTGTATTAACGTCACTACGCCATTCTCGTCTGCCCTCTCGTTATCAAAGGTACCCTTGGTAACCGACGTCACGATGCGTGTCAGTTGTCATCGCCTCCTACAGCCTCTTACATTTATAACTACTCAGTAGCACCCCGTTTCTTGGTTTGCAGTTGCTTCACTCGGCTAACATCACTGGCGGAAACATTACGTTTATGGTTTTCGACGGATAAAATGTCTCAGTTCGACTTACAATTAAACAGCGACACGGCAACGTTCGCAATGTTTACATTCCCACATCCGTGCAATGTGGCGTTCATCTGGATGTACTGATCTAAACTTACGTTGGTAGTGGAAATGCGACGTTCATATTGCCCCATTTGGTCTACGTTAATCACATATGTAATTACAAAATAATTTAAAGAAGATATTTAATCCGAACGTAAACCGTCATCACACTGTTTTTTCTGATAACGTGCGTCTGAACGTAGGGGGCAGACACGTCAATAGAACAGCGCGTCAGTGAGCGAGGAATGTAATTGAGGTCACCGACACCGTCGTTTTTCTGTTTGTTTTCTGCCTTAGATTAATCGTAATTAACCTTAGAAAGTATTAAATTTGGCATCTTAGAAAGGAAATACAGTTTGCTCTTCCACCATGTATAGTGTAATAAAGTACACTGTTGCCCTGAACTATTATAACGTAAAAGCGAGTAACTTAATTGACGTAGTAAAAGAATAAATGTTGACCACGTGGGTAATAAATAAAAACTGCTTCTCGAATTATTTTATTTGCACTCCTATTTTCTAAAATATGTGTACCAACACGCATATACATGCACGCATCCCAAGATAAAACAATACAAACAAGTTGTCAGAGGTTTTAGCATAGCAATATAACTGTTTGAACACCAACTATAACAATAAGGGGTAGAAGTGTTTTAACACCTTTGAATGAAACAAAACCCAGTCCATATTTATTGGGTCGTTATAAATATCGAAAATAATGCTGCTTGTCATATATATTTCTTCCACTTTTTCAGGAAGGCGATGTGAAAACATCATCAACCAATGTGCAGTGGCACCATGTCTGAACGGAGGGACATGTAGCGGAAACGAAACAGCCTTCAACTGCACATGCTCAGTAGAGTGGACTGGAGAGACCTGCGCAGAGAAGGTTAATTTCTGTGACAGCGAGTCCCATCATTTAATACCTGTTATACAATATCTCCCCTTGGGACGTTTGCTGGATTGTTAGTTATGTAACTATTGCAGCTAACCGGGGTCTGTAAATGTTGTGTCTAGATCAGACAATCCATTTGAGTTACGTTGCCCCTTTTGAGAACAAGTAAAGGTTGCTTTGAACTATTTTATCATCCGAATGTATGTAGGAACCTAACTGGGTACATACTGCGTAATGTAACCTTTGGAATCATAGTCGAATCCTCTTCTTGTGTATATGTAGTAAAGCGTTCTTTGACACGATCAGTTCTGATTACCACAGTTCAATGTGGCTATGTTTCAGAGTCCATGGCAGCTGGGGCACAAACCTATATGTGTCAGCCATTCTACCCCTGTAGGCCTTTGTCCTGATGTCTGTACTGCTGATGATGGCTTTCTGCATCTGGAGAAGAAGATCGTAAGTTTGACATGGCATACTCATTGAATAACAGACGATCTTCTACCAGGAGAGGGCGGCAGTCACGCCGAAGAACATAGCTTTCTAATCAGACATATTCCGGCAATCAAAGCCATATACAGTCTGGCTATTGGAATTGTTTTGGAAAAACCACTCACAGTTTGTTCGAGAAATGATTAGGAAATATTTACTTTGACAAATACTTCTGGAGATGCTGTATTTGCTAAACACACTTGTACATAGTTCAGTTCCTTTTAGGAAGTAATGATATGTTTACAAAATCGACAAAAGCAAAATTATAATATTCCCAGGCCCCGTCATCAAAAACGAGGGACACCTAGAAGGTAGACCTATGTAGCAATCAACATGTTCTCGCCGGCATTGTACTTGTACATGATAACGCAGGAAGAGAACAGTCGAGTAATAAAATATGGTTGCATAATCATTATGTAGATACATGTTCCCGTGAACTGTTAAGTTCAGACATTCAACTTAAGATATCTAAATAATCACTCACAATATACCAGGCATGTGTAGGGCTTTGTAGCATTTATGTCAACAATATTGTTATATTTCATATTTCAAGGAGCAAGACGCAACAATGTAGAGACGACAATCAGCTCAGCGCATTTGTGATGGACGTGGCGTATGCAACCCCCAACCACCAAGTGCAATGACGGGAAATCTCCAGGAGGGCAAGCGTATCTCCTGATGGTTACACAAGTCTTCGTTTCCTTGAGGTAGATGAAGGATCACACGACACAAACTGTGATGACACTTCAAACATCAACTTAGCATCTGAAGATATGACCCTTTACCCAGACAGTCAGCAAGGTTTCGGCGTTTATCCAGATGACAATGCACGTCTTGGGAACGCAGCAACACGTGCCACACACTATGATGACACATCAAACATTCACCCAGCAACTGAAGATATGACCCTTGATAATGTAATTGTACATCGTTTCCGATTTTCTCCAGATGACAACGCTTGTCCTGGGAATGCAGCAACTCTTGACACAAACTGTGACGATACAACAAAGCTCCACCTATCAACTGAAGATGTGACTCATGACCAGGTTCTACGTGGGTTTAGCGTTTTCTCCAGATGACAAGGCAAGTCTTGGTGACGTGGCAACACTCCAGCAAGTCACTGAAGATCTGACCCTTGACCCAGTAATTCTACGATATGCAAGAGCTTCCCCACACATGACGACGCAGGTCCTGGTGACAGAAGCAGCAACTTCCGAGAGACACACAGTTATAGAGCCATCAGACGCCCTTCCAGCAACTGAAGATGGGACTCTTACATCTGTGCGTCTACAGAGACCAAGCGGAGATAAAGATGACAAGCCACGATCTGGATACACGCCGTAATGTTACATCATACATCCACCGAGTCCCTGGAGATATTACCCTTGATGCTGAGAAAGAGTCGAGGGAAGAGGGAAGAGTACACTGTCATCGATGACAACAATGTTGAGGACATCTTACAGGAATGCCCATATGGAGACGATAGAAGTCTGTGGATGACAACGATGTTGAGAACATCTCACAGAAGAAGACCCTTATGCAAAGATAACTTTGTAGTTGAGTATGTATTTGTCGACCAATAAGTAGAATGAAAGGAAAATGTCACTTAACTATAGATTATGTAAGATGTTAATCCATCATCTGCTACAAGAGCAGCTCTCCGAATCAGTTAATAGTTTAATGGTAAGAAGTTTCTCTTGCGCACAAGGGTGACTGTGTTCAAATTCAAGATGTATACATATGCATATTATATGTAGGGTTTTGTGCATGTGTGATCCTTTTAGTGTGGGACACCAATAAGGTAAATTCCAGTGAGTATGATGTCGGGTAACCTTGAGGGAATTGTGGATAGATTGTGGTGAGATCTTTGTTCAAATCTCACATTGGCACAGTGTGTGGAAGCCATGTATGGTGTGTCCCGGACCGTATAAATGGACTAGTGTTCAAACAATATCACCTAACTCACACACATAAGAATGAAAGATAATATTTTCTTTTTATTTACTGATACCGAGGAACATAGAAGACTAGTTTATAAATATGCATGATTACATAATGTACATATCATATTAGCCTATGCAGGTTTGTCTTTGACATTGTGTGGGCTAGTAGCCATTTCAATATTGCAAATAAACTAAACTTTAGAAACTTTAATTATTCACTGCCATTCCACGGAATTGTTTCACTCCGCATATCAGGTGTTCTGCTGGAAACGTTTTTCAAAGATTACTGTCTGTTATTTCCTACTGCAGCGTGGACTGGTACAGTTCTGCGTGTGTAGAAATATTAGTAAGGCCAGTCACCACACGGTACCACACACACAGGAGTGAAAGTGTGCTTTGAGGGGTCTGTCGAGACAGTTGATGCTAATGTTAAAGTGAACAGCTGCATTTACCTCAAAATATTTACAGACAGACCATAACCAGATTAAACTTAGAAAGCATTTGCTCAGAGAACTATTTAGCTCCAAACAGGTGTTAAATGATCTGAGTAAATGTTCTTCTATTCGCCATCTTTTACTGGAGTATATTGCCATTTTACCTGGCATGCTAAGATTAGTAAAAATGTTTATCGATTATGTTACCGTGCTATATTCACGTTATTTCAAAACAAAAACCACAGCTCAACACAATCCTTCCCGCGCTATAAATTTTGCCAAAGAACATTTGAAACCTGGTTTGATGCAAGAGTCTTATCTGGAATTAATCGTATTATAGATTTATTTCATGATTAATGAATGAATGCATTAGGCATAATAACTATCAGATGTTCATCTGACCAATGATCACTTAGCAGAGGTATCGCAATTTACAGTCTCCGGAATATCAGGGTTTCAAGCCTCACCTTCTTCTAGAAAAAGTTTACCGCATCAGATTCCGGAATATCAGGATTTCAACCTCCACACCTTTTCTCAGAGGTAGTTTGCTGCATCAGATTCCGGAATATCAGGATTTCAACCTCATACCCTCTTCTGAGAATGTTTGGCTATATACTACATGAGATTCTATTCATTTCAAAGAAAATTCTGCGGATTTGAAGAGAGATAATTTACGATGAGGGACATCAATGTAGCTGCACAGAAAGTATTAGAAACTTGCGATCAAATGGAGGGACTTTTATAGAGATACAAGTTACACAGGAAGTTGCGAAGGTGCATTTGCGTATGGACGGGATCAAGGGAAGTAGAGTTTTATCTGGAGTCATATAGTAGAAGGGATTATAACATATTTTGCGGTTCTTGGGCTACACCTGAATGGAGGCTCCACTTATATCCCGCTCCTCCTATCACGTACCTTGTATGATAGTAATTGAGTCATTATTTACTAGAATGGCCTTAGCTCTCTATTCAGAAGGTATTGCTTCCTGAATTATCTTTGGTCATATTTTGTTAATTTAGCGGCCCTTTTCTGTAACATACGTGTATATGAGCACACAATCGCGGATTAAACCCGAATTTTTTCAAGCGCAAGCTCCCCACACAAAGATATACATACAGATACACATATACATTTTTACACATACACACAAGAGATGTATATGCTTGAATTTCCTTGCCGCTGAAGGTCTGTCTAGAACAGGTTTGTGAAATTAGTAAATAACCACACAAGATCAGTCCTGTATCGTCCGCCATGATTACGAATTGTTAATACAAAGCGGCACAATGAATATTTTAAAACTAAAATGGAATTTGAGCACAGGATGAATTAAAGCCAGCGCTACTGATTTAAAATATTGAATTGAATTATCTATTCATAAACACGTTTCATCCAGAACAATTTGCCTTAAACTCGACAAAATGGTTATTTCCACCATCTTTTAAAATGTACTGAATTTACTTTTGTACTTGCGGAGGTACTTTGTTGCATTCTGATGACATAACAAACATTCGTCATACGGAAGACCTTACAACCCTTAAAGACCGCTAGCGTTTCTCTAAATGACAACACGATGGTCAAGTTACACCTTGCATCCAACATTACCCTAAGTATCTAATTTGTCTTGAGTGTAGCGTTTCTCCAGCTTCATGAGGCAGCTAGCAACTATCGATACTTATCGTCATTTTGCGTGTACATCCAACCAGTCACTGGAGATATGGCCTTTGGTCCGATGGGTCTACAGGCTGAGAAAGTGGACGGAGGTATACTGTTATCGATAACAACGATGTTGAGAACGTCTTACAGTTGCCTTGGACGATATATTGGTCAGCCAATGCAGATAGTGAAATGGGGAAATGAAATGAGTGTATTCAGCTCAGTCCATTTTGTGTGTGTTCTTTGAACCAAAAATTAAAATCCATTTTATGCTTGGTATCATTTCTGATGTTATGTGATATACATGTAGATAAAATAAGATGACGTGCTTCTCTGCTGTGGGACTGATTGGGGACAGGATAACACCAACAAACTCGCATCCACCAAACAATCCATTGTGCATCAAACGTTTCATAGCTAAGTGGTTGAAGTGTTGCATTGCAC